GGTGAATTCAAGAAAAAAAAGTCAAAGTGGGAAATTCAGGCTAAATTAACCAAACTGAGACTGTAACAGAGTTAGAGAAACCTTACAATTAAGCCGTTTTAGTCTAAATTTTGCAATCTAGTTTTAAATTCAATGAAATTTACTGTTTAATGAACAAGTCAGTGAATGTCAGTTTAGGTAGGCAAAGGAATATTATGTCTTCATTGAACTACCCAAATTAAACGTGTATGGTGGGTGGGATTGCATGTAGAGCATTCTGGCAACATGAACAATCCATTGTGGGTGTACACAAAAGCCTCTTATAAGAAATGTTGTAGTTTACATTTATATTATGAGAAGAAACTGTGCAGGTCTCAAGTCTCCCTAGAAAATATTACACCAGACTCTGTCTGTCTGTCAACGCCTCTACTTCTGTGGTATTGCATTACATCAAAATAAAATAAAAGAGTCAAATAAGTGGAAATCTAGATTATCTCCCCAGTCTTTGCGCTTAAAAAGCCTAATAAAGTAAGATAATCATAGGACAGACATTTTATTTGCATCAACTACACGTATTTTCTCATCAAACTGTCAAATCCTTTATAAACCAACATAATCTAAATTAGTTGATGTGCTGCCCTTTAGTGTTGCAACATAGGAAGTGCATTTGAGATTCTAACAGTTATTCATTAACATGAGACTATTCCAAGTGAATTCAAAGTGAATTTAAAATTTTAAACCAAAATAGTTGAATTGGAAGCATAGCTCACTTGGGGAATTTTTTTCAATTAAGCTATTTTGACCTTACATTTGGAATTCACTTTGTATTAAATTTGAGATCAGAACAATTCTCACATGAGTGAATAACGCTGTCACTTACAGTGATCAACACCGATAAAAAACAAACAACACATTTTTCTATAAATATAATAAATATGATGAATTGGTATGCTGGGCTTCAAACACTATAATAGCTCACCCATCTGGCCCTTATGAGAATAAGTGAAAATAATCCTGTTAAATTTCTCTGAAGTTTTAAAGGCTCTATTTTGTGTCACTTACGGTAATGATGAAATTGTAACGTGTAATATAATCATAATTGACTTGTTTCTTAAGTTGTGATAAGGAACAGAGCACTGAAATTCCACTTGATGTGTGGTTTTTTTTTTTAGCACGATTTGATTACAATATTTTGCAACAAAAAATCCCTGCAATTTTGCTTGAACTGAATATGGATGGATTACATTTGTATGTGGGAGGAGAGAAATGAGAAGATCTCGGTGTTATTTAGGGAAAATTTGAGAAATAATGCTGTGCAGAATCAGAGTAATCCATGGATAAGCCTCCTAGTAAAATGGATGAAGGTTAAATCGCTTGGATCTTCAAGCCATTTGGCAGAGGAACGTGATAAATCAGCCAACCAGATTAATTATACTTTGATATTCCACTTTAAAGGATACCTTTTACGCAATAGATAAAAGCACACACAAAAAACTCAGAACTGATTTGATTTGCAAACAATCTCCAACTCCAAAGCTAATCAAAATTTGATTATTTTTGACTAAATTGTGTTGGTTTTTTATTTTGATGTTCAGTCAATAAACATGCCACATTTTATGGGGCAAAGAACACACAGTGATAAGAGCTGGTGGCCTTGCACAACATCCTACTTTACATGATATTTAAATATATGAAATCTGATACATGCAGATCATTGCCTCCATTTGCATGCTTCCAATAAATAAAACAAATGATGGATTTAGAGAAAAGGCTAACATTAAGTCTTCTAGCTAATTCATTATAGGCTGTGCCTAATATGTTTGTGGCAGGAAAGACTATAAAACACTTATTAAAGAAAATTAGCAGCAAAATAAATATAAACATTCTTATCAAAAGTGAAAAAAATTGCTAACATTCTTATTCACAGGCTTCTCAAATCACTCTCAAAAGTAACTTAGTGTCAGGGTTTGTTTGTAGTATTACATTGTACAAACACAGTGAGGGTCTTAATTACTTGCAAATATGGAAGCAGGAAAGGGTATAGAGTTATTCTACATTACCCACCATACTTATGGTAAACAACAGTAATAGTTCTCTCTGTCTGTTTGTTTGTAATGGTATGTGTTTCCTCCAGTTCAACATACATAGCATCATGCTGACGTTAACACCTGTCATGGTACACCACATGCCATTATTCAGAATCAGAACTACCTGTGTCTTATATTTCTGGAACAGACATCTCGGCATCATTCCAGAGTAAATGCACATATACAGTCTAGGCATGTAGTAATGACACAATCTTATCAACAGAGGGTGCTGTTGCTAGTTGCATTACCTGATATTCCCATTAGTACTTTCTTGATTCCTTGTAGTCCTTTTGATATTTGACTTGACGTGGTGGCTATCGTTGAAACCTATCTATGAGCACATGTTAAGCCAAGCCATTCTAAAAACCACAAATGTGCATCTGTCCACTACATATTGGGTAGATATAGATTAAAGTTTTGTATGTTGTATCATCCTCACATCCTGACACTGTTTTACTTGTAGGATGACTTGTATAGTACTAAGTAACCATGTACTAAGACTCTTTGATAACCCCATGCTTTCCACGTGGATGCCTTGAACAAGTCCATGGTCTTTCCAGTTTGACATTGCAAGTTGTGGGCAACAGTTTCTGATTAAACCGCCATGGAGCAGCTGTTGAGACGTGGCAAGTGAGTTGGAAATATAAGCCAAAGTAGCCTGGTTAGTTGTTTTCCAAATCACCTATTATTGTCTGATGTATTCTTACTGTGCATCTTTAGCAATGATAAGACAACACATCAGTTGTTGACCTCTTAGCACTATTATGTTTTTAAGGGTTACCAACACCTCTACTGCTGTGGTATTGCCTTACATCAAAATAAAATAAACACGCCACATAAGTGGAAATCTAGATTAGATCCTTGCACAAAAACACAGGCAGGATTCCTCGGCAGGCAAAGTGATCAGGTAAGGGCCTGCTCAACGGCAGAACTACTGCCGATGCAGCTGCACAGGCGCCCGCACGCTGAGGGGGTCTCATCGGGGCACTTATATTCTCCCAATGGGCATGTACCCTCAAGGGCCCGGTCATGAGCTTCGGTCCTTAAACACCGCGACCAAGCCCCTCTAATAACAGTGCTGGGAGTGAGTGCAGGTCACTTCTCTCAGCTAACATACATGGTGCCATGCAGGAGAGAGAGGAAAAGGGGGGGTGGAAACTGACTCACAACAACCATCAGAAGCCACTGTTCTGCACCCAGAGGTAGGAAACAGGAAGCTAAAATATGACCAGCATGTATGTCTGTAAGTGGCTGTTTTTGTTTGTTTGTGTCTGTGTATCTGCATGTATGTCAGTGTTTGTATCTTGTATCTGCATGTGTGTCAATGCGTGTATCTGTATGATTGTGTGTCTGCATGTGTATCAGTGTGTGTTATCTGTCTGTGTGTTACTGTGTTACTATGTGTATAAGTGTGCATATGGCAGTGTATGTGTATGTGTATATGTGCATTCATATAAGCATTTAAAAGTCAGCACTACACACAAATACACCTCTGTATTAAAATACCAACATTATATATAAACATACAGCTGCATTCAAAAACCAACACTACACACAAATTCACGTCTGCATTTAAACGCCAACACTACATACAAACACATCCCTACATTTAAAAGCAATTTTCAAATGACAACAGAACATAAAAACATAAAACTGCATGCAAATGTCAGCAGTACATACAAATACACCCCCTACATTCATACTAAACAAGCTTAAATTCAAACACACAATCACTGGTCAGTGCTAAATACAACCCTACATTGTGGGGATTGTGTAATGATGGGGATCTACTTTTTGGCCACCCTTGTGATAGGGGGGATACAAAAAAATGTTAGTTCCAACACTGGGCCCACTCCGTGGGAGAGATTTATTGTGTTCTAGTTGGAGCACAGAGTTCTGTGCTGGAACAGACCCCTTAACTTAATAATGCATGTGCTCTCTGATGACAGCCTTATTACTGCTCTGTACAATGATACGCACTGGTAATCATGAACCAAATTAATGTGAGAATGTGGAGTTTGACAGTTTATTGATGTTTGAAAATAGTTAACTTGAAAGAAAATTCATGTGAACTGTAAAGACAAAAATACAAACAGCTGACATTTTATGTCACTATTAATAGCGTATTTAATTAAAGCATTTAGCGAATATTTAACACCCATATTATTATTCTTTTTCCTACCTGTATTAGCATTTTAAAAGTCAAACTCATTATTATACATTGTGCAACCTTCTAGTTTTTGTGTGTAAAAGTTATGAATACAATGGTATCCATGTGGGAGCAAAACTTCTGAGGGTGCATTAAACTACCCATTAAATATTATACTTTTATATGTGAATTCTTCAGATCACTAGACATATCTTTTAATCTTGTATTTAATTATTTAAAGGGACACTCCAGTGCCAGGAAAACAATCCATGTTCCTGGCACTGCAGGTCCCCTCTCCCTGCAACCCCCCCATCCCCGGTTGCTGAAGGGGTGAAAACCCCTTCAGTCACTTACCTGAGACCGCCACCGATGTCCTTCAGCGGTGGTTTCGGGTCGCCGCCGCTCCTCCTCTTCCTTACGTCAGCCGGTGGGCGAGACTGATCCCGCCCGCCGGCTGTGGAGACCTAATGCGCATGCCGCGCACGCGCATTAGAGCTCTCCATAGGAAAGCATTGAAAATGCTTTTCAATGCTCTCCTATGGGGAATTGAGTGACGCTGGAGGTCCTCACACAGCGTGAGAACGTCCGGGGACGCACTAGCACAGAAAACCTGTGCTATAGACACGGAAGTGCCCTCTAGTGGCTGTCTAGAAGACAGCCACTAGAGGAGGAGTTAATCCTGCAAGGTAATTATTGCAGTTTATAAAAAAAACTGCAATAACTACACTTGCAGGGTTAAGGGTAGTGGGAGTGGCACCCAGACCACTTCAATGGGCAGAGGTGGTCTGGGTGCCTGGAGTGTCCCTTTAATGTGTAAATGATTAGTACATCAGTGCTGTCTTTACAATTTTGTCATTAAATTGTCACTATTATTTAAATGTTTTATGGTTGACCGTATGGCAATATGTTATTTTAAAGTCACCCATTGCTAACTGGAGGTAATATTGGGTCAAATACATACACAGATGCTCACACTCCTTTGAAATAAATGTGTAGTATTTTGTATATTGATACTTTAAGAAACACACTGGGCCGCAACACATGAAAGCTCTGTTATACACATGCAATTAGCTTCATTCATTAGATCAGGGATGACACTATCTGTGCCATTCTTCTTTCACCCTTTCACCCTATAAATTATGCATCTATGGTTTTTAAGAAGTATGTTAGTTACAGCTTGTAGAGAATTATGTTATCCAGTGATGTAGATATGCTTAGCATTTCCATAGAAAGTTGTGGGAAAACTGGCTGGTCCACTTGATGGTTTCATTAGACCTTCCAGCAGAAACTGAAAATCCTTAGAATACATAGACAGTTTACATGTTTCTTTACCTTGTGGGACATCAAAAGACAGGAATTGATATAAGCAAAGTGGGAGTTAAGTGGCCTGTGTGATCTTGTTTAATGAGGATGGACAATAGCAAGTAACTCTGAAATACTCCATCCTTTTTTACCCCAAATGATTGTCTAGTCCAGGGCTAGGCAACCTTTTAGCAGCACTGCTAAGATTGTGATGTCCCGTAGCGTGCCGGTCCTATTTGTTTTAAATTGAGGTGTGCATGTTGCCGTATTCTGCTTGTGTTATTTATACTGCAGTTGCTTTGTATAGTTGTATTTGTGCGTATATGAGCTATTATAATGTATATGTTCTTGAGTAGTTTGTGGTATTGTGTACCTATGAATGTCGGCTGTGTATGGGGGGTACTTGTGGAATTGTGTGTGGATGGATATATCAAAATGTGTGTTTCGTAGTGTGTATGTGTGGGGGCTGTTTGGGGTATTGCATATCAGAGTCTGCATGTGGGGTTGTGTGCATGTATATGGATGGTCAGTGGTGTTGAGATTGTGTTGTGTTGCTGTGTGGGCTGCTATTATTTGTATGAGGGGAAGGTTATTCAGCAGCTCTGTTTATATCTAGCAGTGTGTGTGGCTTCCATATACATGTCAAGGGTAGAAGCTGCGATAGCTGCCGAGGGCTGCTCTACTAAAGTGTAGATTCCCATTCACAAGTGCTGGGAGGAATTGATCTGAGATCCCTTCTTCTATGTGCTGCAATGCATAAATTGAGGATTGTCCTTCACCACCTTTTCGTATTAGCAGATATCTGAAGTTTCACTGGGACTCCTGATAGGCCAGAGCCTGTTTGGCTCTAGCAGCCTCGAGTGCCATGCAAAGACACCTTGAGTGCCGTGCACGGCACACGTGCCATAGGTTGCCTACCCCTGGTCTAGTCTAAAGAAACACATCTTAATAGTCTGAAAATTGGATTTGTAGTTAGAATTAGATGTGTTAATATATGTATTTAGTATTTTGGGCTGCGGGCTTAGACCATTTCAATAAATGCACCACACAATTCTTGGATTATCTTCACGTAGTTACCTTAAATCTAAGAAATGACTAATAATCTAACAAATATTTAATCTACAATTGAAAATATTGATTTATTTGTTTAAAATATTTAGATCTTATCATATAATAAAAAATGTTTATTCATTAATATTATAATTGTTATTATGAAATAAATAAGTCTGTTTACATTTAATTTTAAAATGTTTTTCTGGTACTTATTTTTCTTTTCTTTTTTATGGGATTGGAGATTTTATTCTGTATGTTAAACTAGTTGTTGAAATATTTGCTAAATATATATTCTTTTACATTATATAAATACTCATTGTATTATGTTTTTTTTTTTGTTGTTTTTTTTTTTTTAAGTGCGCCACCTGCTGGGTATAATAGTTACTTTTTACACATTAAAGGCCTCACAGAATGTTCTTGTGATTACATTTTTAGGGAGATTTGTCTTCTTCATAGTTGTATAATTTAAATTAACAACTATTTTAATCTGGCGTGCAACCATTCCAGCAATCAGAAATGCTCCAAGCACCATAACAACTAAATTTTCAAATGGTTTGACAAAAAATTGTGTATTTCTCTAGACATCCAAATATTGCCTTTCAGCATGGGACATAATATAAGCAAGATTCTAATTCCTGTTTATGTATCCAAACTGTTTGTAAGGATAAGCAGGATTTTCCTATACACAATTGTCATTAGAAGCTTGCCAAATTGACACTGGCACTCTGATTGGGGTCATTTTAAGGATCCTATAGCAGTTCTATAGATGTAGCTTCCAACAAATCACACCAGAATGCAAAAAACATTTCTGTACATGAGTATAATGACAATATTACAAATCAGTAAAATAAAGGAAAAGAGGTCCAGGCACTCCTTGGTTCAAGACAGGCACTTTATTAGAACCACAGCAACGTTTCAACCATAAAGGTCTTTATGGATAAAGACCTTTACGGTTGAAACGTTGCTGTGGTTCTAATAAAGTGCCTGTCTTGAACCAAGGAGTGCCTTGACCTCTTTTCCTT